ACAAAAAAACTTTTACTCAGAATTGACTATGTAAAGCTGTGTAATTTATTCTTCTTTTAAATTAAATCAGTGAAATTTAAGAAACAAGAAGAAACAAGCAGTTCCCAGAAAGCAAGCCTAAGTAAGCAGGATCAGATGAGAAACCAGTCATGTTCAGTTGTAACAGCATCTTTCTTTTCTTTTTTCTTTTGTTTTTCTTTTAAACACAGTTTATTCTCCATCAACCAGGGACACACAACCATCATAGAAGCACCAGTCAACTATATTAAGGCTATATTCTCTGACACTGTACTTAATGAATCAAATCTATAATCATAAATTTAAAAATAAAAAAATTATTCTCTAAGGAACCATTTTCCACATAAATTGCATACTAATTTATGCCAAACCTATATACAGATTAATATTAATTTCTATATGGAAGATATTTTAAGACATTAAACTGACTATCAATTCAAGAGTTTCTTATGAAGATATACTTACAAATATGAAAACTAAATACATACGTTTACATTTCAGGTTACACTGTGCCATAGATGCTCAAATATACTGTGATATCAATATAAAATAATCACAAACATAAAGCCTATTTTCCCAATGAAAAGATTTTTTTAAAAATTTTAGATTTTTTAATAAATAAACTAGAGGCCCGGTGCACTAGCTCCTAATCACTCATCTGCCTGCCTGCCTGGTGGCTTCTAACTGACCCCCTCTGCCGGCCTGATCACCCCTCACTGCCCCCCCCCCCCCCCCGCCAGCCTGGTTGCCCCTAACTGTCCCCCGCTGCCAGCCAGGTCGCTCCCAAATGCCCCTCCCCACTGGTCAAGTCACCCCTCACCACCCCCCACCTGCCAGCCTAATCACCTCCAACTGCCCCCTCTGCTGACCTGACACCCCTAACTGCCCCCCCCACTGTCCTATCACTTCTTAGTACTCCCCTACCCCCCGCCAGCCTGGTGACCCCACACAGCCTGCTTGTTCAGTCATTTGGTTGTCCCTCACTAACATCCCTGCAGGCCTGGTCACCCCATGCAGCCTGCTTATTTAATTGTATGGTTGTACCTCACTAACCCCCCTCCAGGCATGGCTGTAGGCAACCATCTTGTGAAGGTGTGAGGGTTAATTTGTATATTGTCTCTTTATTATATAGGATAAACTTTCAGGATATAGATAAAATATTTACATATCTAATTGTAACAATAAATATATTAATTTGGTTACACACATTTTAAATAAAATACATGAAAAAATAATGTTAATATGTTAATACTTTTTTAAAATATATTTTTATTTATTTCAGAGAGGAAGAAAGAGGGAGTGAGAGATAAAAACATCAAATGAGGAGAAAGAATCACTGATCTGCTGCCTCTTGCACATCCCACACTTGGGATCAAGCCTGCAACTCAGGCATGTGTCCTGACAGGGAACTGAATCATGACCTCCAGATTCATAGGTCAATGCTCAACCATTGAGCCACACTGGCCAGGCTTAAAATACTTTCTTCCACTCTCACATTCAGTGAAAGAATTTTATCCACTCTCTTTGCATGCACCTTTAATATCAATTTAGTAAGAATAGAATATCTACCATTACTTTATGCATCATTAAGAAAGAAAATAAATTATATCAAGGCAATTATGCCATGCCATTATTCATATATGTATTCTAGTTCCAGAAATGTTAAACTGTAAAAATAAGAGTTAAAACTGGTATTTCATTGTGACAAAACAGGAAAACGGTTATCTATGTTTTATTTACCCTGCAGATTGAAAAGTAATCCAACTGAATTATATTAAATTGTAAGAACATTATAGCATACCCTAGCTGGCTTGGTTTAGTGGATAGAGCATTGGCTTGCAGACTGAAGGGTTCGGTCCTGGTCAAGGGCACATACCTCAGTTGCAGGGTCCTCCCGGGCCCAGTCCCTGGTTGGGGCTCATGCAGGAGGCAACCAATCAATGTGTTTTTCTCATATTGATGTTTCTCTCTGTCTTTCCCTCTCTAAAAATCAATGGAAAATATTCTCAGGTGAATATCACTAAAAATCATATCAATACTGGTGTTTTAGAGATGCATATTTAAAAGGTGGGTAACCAAGCAAAAGAAACAAGGAATAAAAAAAATTTCAGGGTTTTTAAAGATTAAAGGACATACAAGAAAGTATGTCCTTTCTTCTCATTTGCTAAACCCTGCTAAATTTTAAATCACCCCGATATGAAACCTATATTCATTAAAATCCTAGTTTTCATATTCCCACAATTTGAGGAACACAGTAAATTACTATTTTCTAGCAATTTGTTAGGTTATACAATAATATATTCTATTCTTCTTTAGATCAATGAAAATTCCTAACTTTTATAAACCAAAGGCAATCCTTGATACCTACACTATATGAAAATCAGAAGGTGATTGCCATTCTCTACATGTAAAAGTTTCTGAATGATAAATTGAATCTAACCTAAGTAACCCTTATATTAGAGTGAAGTGAGGGTTTCTGCTGCAAATACAGAACTCTGTGGGTTCATTAATTTATCTGTATTATGAAGCAAAACCCAACATATGACATGGAGAACAATTCTTCCAGTATACTGCCATAACATGAGTATTTAGCTAAAAGGAATAGCATGAGTGAAAACACAGACAAGGAACATTCTTTTGTGAGACTGAAAAGATGTTAATATCAGAATTCTATCAGAATTTTAGTACATTACTAAATATGTTAAACATTAGGCCAAAGAAAAGTCCATTTATTATGAAGCTTTAATTAAAAAAAAAAAGCCTTTAATATGCTTGCTTTAGAATTTTTCAATTACATTCAGGGTTCCTGAAGCTAATCCGAATTGATCTAGTTATATGAGAACATGTGAAGTTCTAGTTTTTTGTTTTATTATGTTGTTGTGGTTGTTTTCCTTAAATTGATCTGAAAAGACTATTCAGAACCAATGGCTTTCTTGAAGTGTCAACTTCGCAGTGCGACAGGGCCTAGTTACTTAAACACTAATCTGGATGTTGCTGTGATGGTAATTTGCACATATAATTAAAATCTGTAATCTATTTAAGTAAATGATATTATCCCAGATCATGGGAGTGGGCATAACTGAATCCTTACAAAGACACTAAAAGCAGGGCTGAGGGTTCTCCAAGAGAAAAAAAAAATTCTGCCTGTGGACTACAATTATGCCCCATGGCCATGGGAGCTTTATCCTGCCAGCGATCTCTTCCTGACAAATTTCATACTTGGTTAGCTAGCCCGTGACAATAGTGCATGACAACTATTTGTAATAAATTTCTTTATATGTGTGTATGTATGTGTATCTATATAATAAAAGCCTAAGGACTATTACGGTAGAACAACCAGAACGCAGAATGACCAATCGCTATGATGCACAATAAACAGGAGGGGGCAGACGCTCAATGCAGGAACTGCCCCCTGGTGGTCAGTGCACTCCCACAGGGGGAGCGCCACTCAGCCAAAAGCTGGGTTTATGGCTGGCAAGCACAGCAGTGGTGGCGGGAGCCCTTCTGCTTCCGCAGCAGCGCTAAGGAGCAGTGAGCCAAGTAGTAAGGAGCCAACAGGCAGGCAGTAAGGAGCAAGGGATCCCGGACAGCAAGAGGGATGTCCGACTGCTGGCTTAGGCCTGATCCCCAGAGGAATCTGGCCTAAACTGGCAGTTGGACATCCCCCAAAGGGTCCAACTGTGGGAGGGCACAGGCTACGCAGAGGAAATCCCTCCTTCTAGTGCATGAATTTCATGCACCAGGCATCTAGTATTTACATAAATAGACATATGTATAAGTATACACACACATATATATACACACACTATGATTCTTTGTAATAAACATATACATGGTGTACATCATACATATGTATGTATGTATGTATGTATGTATTTCTCCTAATAGTTATACCTCTCTAGTTGAAATCAAAGTGATATACACCACTTTCAGAATAGTGAAAGAAAACTGTGAGGGTTGAACTTGTTTTTTTTTAGTTTCTTGAAAAAAAAATCAAACTTCTATTAATACAGAATATGATAATAACTTCTAGAGGAAAATATCAGGTCTACCACTAATCCAAAAAATTAAAACTTAATAAAACAACTTGTGAAAATAGTCTAATACTTCCCAACCTTCAAGAAATTAAAAATAAAAATATTTCTAAGAATCAGGCTCCAAAGAACCATATAGATTAGTGACTTCATTCTGTCTCTGTCAGTCTTTCTGACTGTTCAGAAGAATATGGGTGATTAATGAAGTTCTATGGGAGAACTGTTTCTACAAACTTGTGAATTTATGTTAACTATGTGGTAGGTGTAAAGAAGTCAAAAGGCATAAGCTAGTATAATACACCCTAATAAAAGAAAAAAAAAGAAAAAAACAATTCCAAGAGAACTGACTAAATCTGTTCAAACACAGCATATTTTGAAGAATTCAAAGTCAGAGCTCATAAATATCATATCTAGGTCTCCTAAATTGCCTTCAAAATATACTCCTCCTTCTAAATTTGGTCTATGCACTGATGTATGTAATAGCCTGCTTTTCTAAAATACAAATTGTAAAAGTTGAAAAATACATAGCCCAAAGGACCATCAGCTCAACACACAGGTCTGAACCAATGAAAAGTAGTAATTCCTTGAACTTCAGGCTCATTTGTTCTTTACATAAATAATTAAGAAGCAAGTGGCTTTTAATACTTTTTTGATTAACCAGTAGAAAATTTTAATTTATTAATCAATGAATGCTTTTTTTAACCAATAATGATGAAGTCCATGGCTCCCAATTTATTCCCATTCTGTGTTGCCTTTTAGAAACTAAACAATGAATTTACACTGACTTAGAAAAAAGTGGATAATAAAGTAACATTGGGCACTCATGAACCTACATTCAGAGAAGCAGATATACTGAAGAGGATTCCCTCAAAAGTATATAAGTTTTTAAAACGATACTTTAGAGCTTTTCAAAAAAAGTGAAACCTTATTCATCTTCCCTTTTCTTACCTTTCCAACTCAGCGATCTTTTTATCTTTGTCATTCTTCTCATTTTCCACCTCCTTCAAGATTTCCAAGAGGCGGTCAACTTCTGCCTGGGCCTTGCTAGATTCATCTTTGTACCTGGCAATCTCTCTCTCCAATTGCTGTATTCGGTCATTCATCTCTGGACTAGCTCTAGCTTCCAATGTTGCCTCATGTGCCTACAAAGAAAAGTATTCAAATTCCATCAGATATACATACAATGTATAAAGATCAGATAAAAAATAAGTGAAATAAAAACTAAAAAAGACAATAGAAAAGATCAATCAAGATAAGAGCTGGTTCTTTGAAAAGATAAATAAAATAGATGAACCATTAGCTAGACTAGTCAAGAAAAAAAAGAGAGCACTCAAATAAGTAGAATCAGAAATAAAAGAGAAGTTACAAGTGGTACTAGAGAAATACAAAGGATCATGAGACTACTATGTAAAATTATACACCAACAAATTATACATCTAAGAGGAAATGAATAAATTCCTATAAACATACAACCTTCCAAAACTGAACAATGAATAGAAAATCTGAATAGACTGCTTACTAGTAAAGAAAGTGAATCAATAAACATGAACCTCCTAAAAAACAAAAGAACAGAGACAGACAGTTTCACCGGTGTTATAAGACAATTAATTTCTTTTATTAAAAAGGAAAAAGTGTTCTCACCACACAAAAAAAGGTAAATATATATGATGATGGATATGTTAGCTTATTGGGTAATCATTTTACAATTATAGATATATCAATCTTGTATACCTTGAATATATATAATTTTTATTTATCAATTCTATCTCAATAAATATGAAAAAAGAGTCAAAAATGTATATTATAAAGCAATCTTTTTTTTAAGAAATACAAATATGCTAAGAGAGGAAAGAAATAAAATGTTCAATTAAAACAGACAAGGCACAAAAAACAAGACAAAAGACATGAAGAACAAACAAAACAGGATGGGTCATATGGCTCAGTGGCTGAGCATCAACTTATGATGCAGGAGGTCATGGTTTGATTCCCAGTCAAGGCACATGCCCACGTTGCAGGCTCCATCTCCAGTAGGAGGCATTCAGGAGGCAGCCAATCAATTATTCTCTCTCATCATTGATGTTTCTATCTCTCTCTCCCTTTTCCTTTTCTTTGAAATAAATAAAATTTAAAACAACAACAACAACAAAAGAAATAGAAAACTACCATAGCAATAACTTTCTTGAAATAGGGCATTATGAAAGCAATATAGTAGGAAAGCATCAGTAATTAATTAAAATAAAAAAGGAGCACTCATCCAGAATCAAGGAAAAATATGAAGTGAAAATTGCCATGGGTAGAAACATAAGTCACAGTTGGAGAAAGCCTTCAACTTCTTCTACCCAAAAATAACGTTTTTTTCCATGACCCTAAATATTAAGTCTAAAATATCAGAGATCATAAAATGATCAGCTGTAGAATCATCATGATAAAAGATTAAAAAGAGCCGAAACCAGTTTGGCTCAGTGGATAGAGCATTGGCCTGCGGACTGAAAGGTCCCAGGTTCGATTCCGGTCAAGGGCATATGGGGGGTATGCAAGAGGCAGCTGATCGATGATTCTCTCTCATCGATGTTCCTAACTCTCTATCCCTCTCTCTTCCTCTCTGTAAAAAAAATCAATAAAATATATATTTTTTAAAAAGATTAAAAAGAAAGAAGCAGCCCTGTCCAGTTTAGCTCAGTGGTTGGAGCATTAACCTCCAGATCAAAGGGTTGCCAGTTTGATTCCCCTTCAAGGGTATGTACCTGAGCTGCATGTTCAATCCCCACCCTTGGTCGGGCACATGCAGGAGGTAACTAATCAATGTGTCTCTCTCATGTCAATGTTTCTTTTTCCCTCTCTCCTCTCTTCCCCCTCCTCCTTTCCACTCTCTAAAAATCAATGGGAAAAAATCCTCAAGTGAGAATTAAAATCCTAATATATAAAAACCTGGGTCCGTCACAACTGGAGGCTCAACCAACTGGAAGTCAGTCCTGCAGTCAGTGCTGGGTTGCTGTAGCAACCCAGCACTGACTGCTGTGGGGGCTGCGAATCAGGCCTGAGAGAGGCCTGAAGAGAGAATCAAGGTCTGATCCATAGCCTGTGTGGCAGCTGTTGATCAGCACTTGCCTCTCTTTCCCTCCAGGCCTGGCCAGCAGCCATACCTCTATTTTTCTCCAGACCTCCACCTGGGCTGCTGATTAGCCCTGCCTTTTTTTTAATCAGTCCCCGTTAATAGGCCCAGAGACGCTGACTGGCATAGAAACTGACCAATCAGAACCAAATTGGCCAGCAGAGGAAGGCAGTTGGGGACAAAATCAGGTCTGCAGTGGAGGGCAGATGGGGGCGAGATCAGGCCAACAGGGGAGGGCAGTTAGGGGTGATTAGGCAGGCAGAGGCAGTTAAGGGTGATCAGGCTGGCAGGGAAGGGTAGTTAGGGACGAGATCAGGCCAGCATGGGAGGACTCTTGGGTAAGGTGACCAGATTGTCCAGGTGTTGGCGGGATAGTCCTGATTTCTAACAATTTACCCCGTGTCCAGCAGCATTTTTAAAAAGTCCCAATTTTTTGGAAAGAAGCTTTCCAATCTTTCCAATCTTTCCAAAAATCGGGACTTTTTTAAAACGCCGCAGGACGTGGCAAAATTGTTAGAAATCAGGACTGTCCCGCCAACACCTGGACAATCTAGTCACCTTGGGGGATATATCAGGCTGGCAGGGAAGGGCAGTTGGGGGCAAAATCAGACCAGCGGGGGAGGGCAGTTAGGAGTGATTAAGCAGGAAGGCAGAAGCAGTTAGGGGCAATCAGGCAGGCAGGCAGATAGGTTAGGATCGATCAAGCAGGCAGGTAGAGGAGTTAGGGACAATCAGGCTGGCAGGCAGAGGCAGTTAGGGGTTATCAGACAGGCAGGCAGGTGAGCAGTTAGGAGCAAGGGGTCCCCAATTGGAGAGGATGCAGGCTGGGTTGAGGGGACCCTCCCCCTGTACCCCTGTGCACAAATTTCATGCACAGGGCCACTAGTATAATAATAAAAATAAACAAACATAAAATGTGGGATTGTCATAAACAGGAAAGTTTGAAATAATAATGAAACTTAATATTGATAGTTATCACTCAGTGTTATTAACCCTAAAGATATCTAACAGCTTTACCTTCAATATTCAGATATTAAATTAAAAATTACCTCCACCTTTTCAGTGAGAAAAAAAAACACCAACTTTCAAATCTGAATTGGTTATAAACAGAATCCTTAATCTCAAAAAAAGTATTTTCCTATTTGTTGAAAAGTAACTATGAGATATTGGATTTTCTTCCTTTCCTTAGTTTAGAATATAAGTTTACTTTTTGGTATACTCTATATGATGATTCATTATGAAAGTATTATGCTGAAAATACCCAATAGATGAAAAGATTATAAAACTTGGAATCTCGAGAGTTATATGAACTGGACACAGCTACTCTAACTGTTCAAAAGTCTCAGTTCCAGTTCTCATAGAGTTGATAGCTCAGAGATAATAAGTAGGAAAGTGCTTTGAAAACTATAAAGCCGCCATAAAATATTAGAGGCAAAAACCAAAGAAATTAATTGTAAATATATACACCATATCCTAAATTCACCACTGTGAGTCACTATCAATGTTAAGTATCTTTTTCTAGGAAGCCTGATGCTAATGGGAGAAAAATATCAAATAACCAGATTATTACATTGTGGCTTTATATTTCACCCACAAGGAAGCTGCATATTTTAATTTTCCTCTGATCTATCAATTTTCTAAGAGTTTGTGGATTCTTAGGAGTAAAATAAAATAGGATTAAGAATTCTAAGATAATTAATCAAGGTATAAATGGCTTTGAACTTTAGGGGATTACCATATTATATATGTACATTGTAGAGTTTGCTGCTATGTTCTTATTTAAAGCAAAGCCAGAAAATGGGAAATTTTTCTTTAACCTTTTTCAACTGTGATTCCATTTTCAGACATTCTTCCTTCTTCTGCTCCAGAGCAATCTCTAGTGTCTTTAGCCGTGAGTCCTTTTTCAGCCCTGAGGAAGCCAGGGAAGAAGCATGCTCTTTCAGATCCAAGAGTGAAGCCTAAAAAAAGCAGCACACATCTAAAATAAATATTAACCATAAATAAAATGGAGATTTAAATTTTTAATTTTCTATTTTTGGTGGCTAGTAGTTTCTTTCTGTTATCATATAGTGACATATTTCTATTTCAAGAATATGAAATATAAAACGATATTCACTTGTCCTAGCCAGTTTGGCTTAGAGGACAGAGCATTAGCCCAGGTCCTGGGTCCAATTCCAGTCAAGGGTACTTATCATGGTTGCAAGCTTGATCCCCGGCCCTGGTCAGGGAGTGTGCGCAGAGGCAATCAATTGATGTGTCTCCCTAACATTGATGGTTCTCTCTGTGTGTGTCTGTCCCTCTCCCTTCTACTCACTAAAATCAATGGAAAAATATCCTCAGATGAGGATTCATAACAACAAAAACACCACCAAAAAATTCACTTTAACATTCAAGTCCTAACTAAAATAAGATGAATTCCCAGGAACTACCAATTGAATAATGGTCTAATGAGTTCAACCAATACATATCCATTCCCACAGAATAAATGGAAGTAAGTCAAGCTATGTGAACATAAGTAGTCAACCTCATTGGTTACATTGACTTAAATATAAAATACCTTTCCCTTTTAGAAGAAAAAAATCTAATAGAAACTTAAATTTCCGTAAATTTTCTTTAAAATTTTAGAAAGAATATCCCGAGGATGTTCCTAAATCTCATGTATATTACCTTGAAGACAAGGCATTAGCCATTTTTGCTACTTATGTCACATTAACAAGATTCTCCAAAAACAAAATAGAAGTAGATTAAGTCAACATTTAATATTTCTCTGCCAATGGTAAAAGCTGTTGTAAATAAATTTTTCTCCTTTTGCATATTCCTTTCATCTATCACCTTTTTTACCATTAGCACAATATTGCTCCAAATGTAACTGGACTTCAGTTATTTTAGGATCTTTAAAAATGTCACTAACAAGTAAGAAATCAATTCATACAGTGAAAGAGATAAGACGTAGGAATTAAATGATCCAATCTACTCTGTCTCTGCAAAGCTTCTTTAAATATGCTATAAGACCTCCCCAAAAGGCATGCCATGGGAATATTAAGAAAAATCGTCCAAACACTTTTTATATGTCTTATGTAAACAGCGAATATACAGAGCGCACTGAGCAAACCATATGATTTCATTTTGGTGATCTTCACCTCTTTTTCTGAGAGGTCCCCTTGCAATAGGCTGACTTTTTCTTTCAAGTCTTTAAGATCTTTTTTGTAGTTATCAATTTCCTCTTGCTTCTCTCGCTCATCTCTGTCCCGCTGCTCCTTTAAGCGTTCAATTGTCCGCTCCTAGTGGGAGAGCACATCAATACATGAGAAAATTCCTTTCATACTTCTATCATATGACTATAATTCAACTTTTATCAGATAAAATTTCATACTTACACACACACATCCCCCCACTCAAAAGTCAGTTAAAATTGTCAATAATTTACTTTGTAAAGAATTCAGCCGAAACCAATTTGGCTCAGTGGTAGAGTGTCGGTCTGCGGATTGAAAGGTCCCAGGTTCGATTCCGGTCAAGGGCATGTACATTGGTTGCAGGCACACCCCGGTGGGAGGTGTGCAGGAGGCAGCTGGTCAATGTTTCTCTCTCATCAATGTTTCTAGCTCTCTATCTCTCTCCCTTCCTCTCTGTAAAAAAATTCAATAAAATATATTTTTTTAAAAAGAAGAAGAATTCATCCTTCCTACCTGCCTTGCTAAAACAAAGATCTGGCTTTGTTATTTTGATTCCCTTGGGTTTCTTTTCACATAATCTCAACTAGTATTAGATATCCCTAAAGCATGTATTCTTTTAGAATAATTTCATTTATTCAACTCCCAAATACATGTTGAATGGAAACAACCCAATGGAAACTCACAATTCACATACAAAAAAAAGGGGGGAGGGGTGGAGTTTATATGTTGAGTTTAAAACATAAAAAGGATAAAGAAGAGAAATCATTAAAAAATGTGTCAACAGATACTCAGGAAGTTTGAGGTTAAGTAATTAAAGTGTATCTCTGGGTATTATTTACCAGTACATTCAGGAATCAAGCCTTGGTTCCTGGCAGGCAACTTGAAACATTGTGAATCTAAGAGGCTTAAGGAGAGGCTCCATATCTCAGGGAGAAGAGGCTTAACGAACAGTGACCCTATTCCTTTAAAAATATCCTGGCCAATGTGGCTCAGTGAATGAGTGTCGACCTATGAACCAGGAGTTCAGGGTTCAGTATCAGTCATGGCACATGCCCCAGTTGCAGGCTTGATCCCCAGTAGAGGGTACGCAGGAGGCAGCCGATCAATGATTCTGTCTCATTGTTGTTTCTATTGGGTCTAGTAATATCTAATGTCGTTTTTTAACATTCGTTTAAAATCTTGCTTGGCGTTGACTTGTATTGACATAACCTTCAAACACGTGGTATCTACAGAACGTGTGAAGTGCAATTAACAAGTTTTGCTTGAAAAAGTTTGTGTTTGGTTTGTTTTTTGTTGCAAAACTAGGCTAAAAAGATGGCGGATGAAGAGCATATTCGGCACTGCATGCTTTACGAGTTCCAATTAGGAAGAAAAGCAAGTGAGGCTGCAAAAAACATCTGTAGTGCTCTTGGTCAAGATGCAGTTAGCGCCAGAAAATGCCAGCGTTGGTTTGAGAAATTTCGCGAGGGAAACTTTTCGTTAGATGACAAGAGTGGTCGAGGCCGTGTATCCAATTTTGATCAAGAAGCTTTTCAAGCTCTTTTGGTGCAAAATCCTCAAATTACCCAACAAGACCTTGCGACAACTTTAAATTGTTCACAAAAAACAATTTCCAATCAATTGCGTGCACTTGGCAAAGTCCAAAAGTTTGGAAAATGGGTTCCTCATGAGTTGACCGACAACAACCGTAATCAAAGAGTCACAATTTGCAGTTCGCTCCTTTCTCGTCAAAACCGTTTGCCGTTTTTAGAGCAAATTGTTACCGGAGATGAAAAAGGGGTGCTGTATGTTAATTTGAAAAGGCGGCCTCAATGGTTGGACAAAAATGAGGCTCCGCAGCCCACGCCAAAACCTGACTTGCATGCGAAAAAAGTGATGTTGTGTGTTTGGTGGAATTTTAAAGGAATTCTTCATTATGAACTTTTACCATCGAACCAAACCATTACAAGTGCAGTGTATAGTGCCCAATTGGAAAGGTTAGCCCAAGCTTTAAGAGAAAAAGAACCCACGCTGATTAATCGGAAGGGCGTAATTCTTCACCACGATAACGCACGACCACATACTGCAAGAATCACTGCTGAAAAACTGCGCCAGTTGGAATGGGAAGTTCTCCCTCAACCTGCATATTCTCCTGATATTGCCCCTTCCGATTACCATTTGTTTCGTTCTTTTCAAAACTTTCTTCTTGGAAAAAAATTTAATAATGAAGAATGCCTCAAAAATGCATTGACCGAATTTTTTGCATCAAAATCACAAGGATTTTACAACAGAGGGATTAAAATGCTTCCTGATCGTTGGGCACAAGTAGTAGAAAACAACGGCAACTATATTGTTGATTAAATTTTGTTGTATTGTTTAAATAAATTAGATTTTTTAAAAAGTATTAGAAAACGACATTAATTATTACTAGACCTAATATCTCTCCCTCCCTCTCCCTTCCTCTCTGAAATAAATAAAAAATATTTTAATTAAAAATATCCAGTTAAATACCCCACTAATAATCCTTACACATCCTTCATTACCACTCATGTTGGGCTTTTTAAAAATTTTTTATTAGACAACCATTACTGAAAACATTGGTTTGTTTAAAAAGACAAAATGAAATAGCAAGGCCAAAACTAGAAAAAGATCAAATAGATTCATTGATTAATAACTGAAACCCACAAATATATTAGGTTCCAATGAAACGTAACAAAGGAGAACTAATTATATACTGCTTCCTAATGGTCAGTGTCTACTATTCCCATATCCCCAATTCTAGTTGACGATATATAAAAATCACTTCTCTTTTTTCTTCACAGGGTCATAGATGGAGCCCTAGCTGGTTTGGCTCAGATATAGAGCATCAGTCTGTGGACTTAAGGGCACTGGGTTCGATTCTGGTCAAGGGCACATACCACAGTTGCAGGCTTGACCCCAACCCCTCTTCCCCTCCACCCCCACAACACACACACCCTGGGTGGGGCACATATGAGAGGCAACCAACTGATGTCTCTCACATAGATGTTTCTATCTTTGTCTCTCCCCCTCCCTTCTACTCTCCATAAAAATCAATGGAAAATATTCTTAGGCCCTACCTGGTTTGGCTCAGTGAATAGAGGGTTGGCCTGTGGATTGGAGAGTCGTGGGTTCAATACCAGTCCAGGTACATGCCCAGGCTGCAGCTCAATCCCCAGAGTGGGGTGAGCAGAAGGCAGTTTCTATCTCTCTCTCCCTCTCCCTTCCTCTCTAAAATCAATAAAAATGTTTTTTAACAGAGGGAAGGCTGGGGAGTGTTGGAGAGGGAGGGAAATAGATCAATCAAAGGACTTGTATGCATGTACACAAGACACTGGCGGGGTCGGGATGAGGGCATGTGACAGGGGGTAGGGGAGGCAGAGGAAAGGTCAATGCAGAAAAAAAAGGAGATATATGTACTAATATATGTAATACTTTAAACCAAAAAATATTTTATATATATATTTTTTTTCTTTTTTTTTTTAAATATATGTCCATGGGTAAGGATTAACAAAATAAACAAAACCAAAAATAAAAATCATAAATGGGGAACATATGGCTAATTAAAGAAACTTCAGCCACTGCCCTGTAGGATAGAATCCATCTTGCCTAGAGACAGATACTTAAATTGCAACAATGAAATATATTTTCTTTTCCCTTATACTATGTATGCCAGAACAGTTCAGGGTGCTTTTTTCCCTTTTGCCAAAGGGATTTCTTCAGTATTCTAAATTTATTAGATTATTTATTTATTTATTAATCTAATAAAAATGTATTAGATTAATGAGAAAGCAGGAGAAATGTGTATTACTGGAAAAGTCTGGACCAATCACTCACTTTCTCTGCCAAGGCCTCCTCCAACGTTGTCAAGGCAGTATCGGTGTTGGTGGTATCAGCCTGTAAGGATTTGACTCGTTCTTTCAAGCTGCTCATCTGCTTTTCCTTATCTCTAAGTTGTTCTTGAAGATTTTCAATCTGAGTATACATAAACATTTAAGAAGGGAAAAAAGAAATTAAAGTCACAACAAGAAAATTTTAAATTGGAAATAGGTAGATCAGGGCTGCTGTGAATGTGTAGCCTGTAGAAATAATTTCATCCTAAAGATTTCTGAACTGCAAGCAAAACTTTAAACCCAGAATTTATAGCCAGAACAGAGAAAAGATGTACACACCCATATACATGAATATCTAAAGAAATAAAGAAAGTACCTACAGAGAAAAGACCCAACATACAGAGATGGGGATAGAGAGAGAAACTATGGAGAGGAAAGCCACGAGAAACTGGATTACCTCCAAAATGACAGTGTAAATTCCCAGAGGAATGGCTTCACAAACAACAGAGGAAGGACAGAGAATGAGTAAGAAAAACGAATCAACTGTATAAGAAAAACTGGTTTTTCTATAATAATTTGTATTGAATTTATTAAGGTGGCATTGGTTAATAAAAATTATACAGGTTTCAGGCATATAATTCTATAGTATATTAACTACATATGGTATTATGTATTTACCAAGGAAAAACTATTCTTAACTCATACTGTTAAGTTAGACTTTTATATCATTTTTTTTATCTAAACAGCAATTTAGCATAAGCTCTTTAAGGGCCGGCTTAATTCCATAGAGGAAGAAAAAAGAAATATCTGTTCTTAGAAGCAGAACAAATAAGAAAAGCAAAAAGATTTGGTAAATTTAGAATAGGGTGCCATACATACTGTAAGGCTTGGATTTTTATTCTTTAACAAATAAATAAGTATACAGGTAAACTACTGATAAACCTGCAATAGGTTCCAGTCTTATCAATAAAAGTCCATACCATGAAAGAAAAGATCATCACAAATGAAAAGCATTGTTTTTCCTTTAGTTTAATCAGACACTACTACTGGAATCTCACGTGGATTAGTATTTAGATTGATCTCACAACCATTCAAAAGAATTTTGCCACTCAAAAATCTAGTGCATACTTTATATACATACAGAATGCAAAGCCCTGGTGCTTACATGTTTAACCAGATACTCAGGTCATTCCAGTTGCTAAGATATAAACCTTATGTGCACACACACACAAAAAAAGGATATGATCATGCTGTTGATTAAAGTGCAGCACAAAAACCATTATTTAAAATGAAATTTCACAGAACCAACAAAATATTATATACAAGAAAACAGATTTGTTTTATGAGTTCACCTTATATGCAAATAGCCCTTACATGCATAAAAATAACACCCTTCTTTCTCCTCCATCATTACTATCTAAGAAAGAATTTAAATTGTCAACAATTTTACTTGTCTGATTTACATGTAGTCAAACTATTAAAAGAATCCATTATTTTTGCTAGCAAAAACTTTTCCTAATGCTCAGGTGCAACGGCTGCTAAACAGGTAAATCCCCATTAACAAGTTCTTCCTAAACTACTTTCTTCTCCAATTACCCAGATACCTAAACAGACTGTTGTTGGGCTGGAAGGGAGGGAAAAAAATGTCTATCTTTGGACTCCTACTTACTTTTAAAGTAGAGGAATAAACACTCCATAGTGAAAGGCACTGACAAAATGAAAATAGGACAGTGAACGCTGAAAATACCTCCTTTGGGTAGGTTGCCATAAATGAGGAAGGCTTGAAATAGACATGTATGTGCAAACTAGCTGCACAAGCATGGAACAAACCCAAAAGATGCTATCATTTTTTCCTTTACCCAGCTTCATGATGAACTTTACTGAAAGCTCCTATTGCATATCTTCGCTTGGCTTGTGATTCAAAATTGTGCTTTTTTTTTTTTTTTTTTTTTTATCAAGGATATTTGGTTTATATGTGTTACTAACCAGCTGGTATAAGAATGCTACCACATTATTCTCTTCTTTTTTACTAATCTAACGTTGAGGTTATAAAAGCTGTTCACCCTGAAAGTCCCATATCATATGATTTTAGTATTTATTATGTATTTCAACACAATTTATAGTGGATATCTTATTTTATACTCTTTAAATATCCACAGGGTCTGAAATATATGTCTTACAAAATGTTTTGAATACAATAGCCAAAAGAAAAACTGAATCTGTTATCTACATACTTGAATAATAACAGCAAAGATGATTGTTTGGAATCATATTAAGTGCATATAATTCTCCTTTAAATATGCTCAGAATATCTACAAATACACATACACACACACACACACACACAGCACAACTCTCCATTTTGTAGAAACAGAAACCACAGAATCCCTAAAATACCAACATGATACCAATAACGACAAATAATAATAATAATAATAATGGTAGTGGTGATAACAAAGACCACTAACACACACAAAAGAGAGAGTAGTATGTTAAGTGACAGACATTGTTGTAAAAACTTTATATATAGGAACTATTTAAGTATCACCACAAAACTATGAGATAACTACTAGCCAATCTAGCTAAAGAAACCTACCCTTTTTTAAAAAATGTTTTATTGATTTTTTATAAAGAGAAAGGGAGAGGAATAGAGTGTTAGAAACATCAATGAGAGAGAAACATCAATTCAGCTACCTCCTGTACACTCCCTAGTGGGTATGGGACCACAACCAAGGTACATGCCCTTGACCAGAATTCAATCTGGGACCCTTCAGCCTGCAGGCTGATGCTCTATCCACTGAGCCAAACCAGTTAAGGGAACAGAAACCTACTCTTAATCACTATGCTGTAAATAATATATTTTATGATGAAAAAAAGGAAAAAAACAATCACACAAAGGTGACTCAAGCATCTTTCCATGATCTATTCCTTATTATTAAAGAGCATTTATTAATAAACACAATGTCTTATTTCTATGGTCATTTATATTAAAACTAGAGTCTCAGTGCATAAAAACTCAATGGGGGGTACCTCAGCCCAATATGAACCCTCTCCAATCTGGGACCCCTCAGGGGATCTCCGACTGCTAGTTTAGACCTTATTCTAAACCAGCCGTCAGACAACCCTCTCACAATCCTGGACTGTTGGCTCCCAATCGCTTGCCTGCCTGCCAGCCTGATCACCCCCTAACCACTCCCCTGCCAGCCTTATCGACACCTAACTGTTCCCCTGCTGCCCTGGTCGCCCCCAAGTGGTCTCCCCTGCCCCTAAGTGCTCTACCCTGATTGCCCCTAACGGTCTCTGCTTCGGACTCCACCACCGTGGCTTTGTCAGGACATTCGGATGAATGTTCAAAAGATGTCTGATCTAATTAGCATAGACTCCTTTTATTAGTATAGATAACACATATGCTCCTAAAAAGTTATATTATTTTACATGCTTTAAATTATACAGTACATTCAACCTCTTTTACCCTGTTTTCTTTTTTACTTTTTCTAAATATATCTTATTGATTTTTTTCACAGAGAGAAAGGGAGAGGAATAGAAAATTACAAACATCGATGAGATAGAAACATCAATCAGCTGCCTCCTGCACAACCCCAACTGGGGATGTGCCCGCAACCAAGGTACATGCCCTTGACCAGAATCGAACCTCAGACCCTTCAGTCCACAGGCCGATGCTCTATCCACTGAGCAAAAGTGAGTAAGACTCCCCCGCAACTTCTTCTTTTTGCTTTTTAGATTATCCACATTTGTAGATATGGCATTAATTCATTTTCCATTGATTTTTAGAGAGAGTGGAAGGGAGAGGGATAGAGAGAGAAACATCAATGCAAGAAACATCCCTTCGATTGCCTTCCATAGGAGCCCTGACCAGGAATCCAACTTGAAACCCAGGTATGTGCCAGGTATGTTCACTGACCTGGAATCAAAGCTGCAACCTTTCAGTGCACAAGACCACGTTCAATGCTCAACCAACCTATCCACTTCAGCCTGACTGTTATTTAATTTCTGGAATTTTATTTCAATTAATTCTTACAAAGTCTGTGGTTTAGGTAATATTCATTTTGCTGATGAGGAAAAAAATAAACAAAAAACCAACCCCTTTGTTGTGAGGTTACTGTATTTTCCTGCCAGCCCTAGAAAGGCTCTTGACAGTGCTTTCACTGGTATCTAGAGTCAGAAGCATTATCCTCACCACTTCCCTTTCCAAAGCCTCCTCTGCACTGGTACTGAGGCTGTCCTGGAGGGCACAGAGGCTAGGTAATGGAGACAACAAAAGGATTTGGACCACTGGAGTCACCGCATTCCTTTCCTCCCTATGCTGGAAAAGGCGGGGCCAGCAACTTCCAGCAGCACAGAGCTTCTGGATAGGCCAAGGTTTGTGGCACTAGCTCTTTGAACACCTTAAGTCAGGTGTCGGCAACCTGAGGCTCCAGAGCCGCATGCGGCTCTTTTGAAGCTTTACCGCGGCTCCGACAACTTGCAAGCATGTGTGAAAATGAAGGTAACCTCTTACAGCCCTGATGTTCTAACACTGTGCACAGAGGTTCAGGAGCAAAAATCCCATTAACCAGGTAAATTAAATATTTTAATTAGCTACTAATTTGCAAAAATATATTTTACATTGTTAAGTGAAAAAGTCTTTTTTTTCTTCAGATTGATAGCTAACTGCACGATCCGGTATATAGCATTAAGGTAAGAAATAATATATGCAGTGTTATATTTGTTTTAAATGTCGCAATGGTTTTGTGGCTCCCAGATTTTTTTTTTTCCTTTGGAAATGGGTCCAAGTGGCTCTTTATGTCTTAAAGGTTGCAGACCCCTGCCTTAAGTGCTTCAGTCTCTTCCTCTCAAGAGCTGCTGTCACTCCAGAGGTTATAGGGCTGCCCTTTAAGTCCTCTGCACACCTCCCGTCCGTGGCAAACATGACAGTGGCCTCGGTGATGGAACTGCTATTTTTAGATACCTTTAAACACCCCAGCACTGAGGTAAGACAGCTTACTTCTGACTCTGTTTCTCGACTGTGGGATATGTACAAAAAATCCTTAGGCATCTTCGACTTTCCCTCCTGCCAGTGGCCTTAAATTCTGCATGTACACACTCGTCCGCTAGCTGGTGTGGGCACCACGTCTACAGAGA